AGATGTATATAAGAATATCAGAAATATTCATATTTATATATTGCTATATATATACAGTGAGTAACATTGATATTCGATTTTTTTTTTTTTCAACTTTTTTTCTGGTTTATGTATAATCTTTGTTAGTTATGTTATTTTTAAATCTAAAATTTAACATTTACACTTTATTAATTATAGGCATTAGAAGTTGAAATTGAAAATTAAAAACCGCATATCAATGTTACTCACTGTAGATAGATCATATTATATCATATCATATCATATATATAAAAGAATATCGGAAATATGTATGTACTATATGTGCCATATATAGTTGCACTTGCAATTGGCATTCTATTTAGGGAAATTCTAATTGGAAATCCCGTTTGCTGCTTAGATTTTCCCACAGAGAACGAGTTCTTAATTCACTCTGATATTCCACACTGTATAAACTACAGGGTATACAGGCCGTCTTCACGATGATAACAAGAATAGAGGAAACTATAATTTAATTTGATGGCCGCTGCTCAATCAAGCCGGCTAAAATGCTAAGCAGCGCCTTAGTTGAGGAGGATTCTGCGGCCGAGATTGATGCATGTGGAAGCTGTCGCTGCACTCTGACCCCAGCTCCAGGCTGATTCCATTCATTCTGCTCGCCTTGAGCTAACAAATGGCAAGTTGCCTGGCATTCGGCTGCTCGTATGTCAAATCTATCTATTGTTGACCCTTCGCCCATTCACCGCACACACTCACACACACACACACACACATGCGTATCTAATCATACTTGGCCAGCGATCGGAGACAGTTTGACAGTGTAATTAACAGGTTGAGCTAGCAGTTTGTGCCCATATTGAAATATGCATTGCTCAAAGCATATTTGAGGCGATTCTCAGATTTATTGAGCCATGCCAGTAACCACATCATTAGCAGGGCGTGGTCAACGGCCAGACCACAGCCGGCATCCGCCCAGCATACCCAATAGGGTCCTCCAGCACCAGCAAACCAACAAACCAACAAACGTGCTCGGACTGCTCGATGAGCTCCAGTCGAGCTGCCTGACGGTTTCTGCCAGTCCATGTGTGCAGCTAAATCCGTTACCATTGCTCCGTCTCCCCCTCCCCCACCTCCACCCCCTCCTCGTCGCACGTTTGCAAAATTCTTATCAGAAATTATTACTTATTAAGGATTTTGCATGGTAGCTGCGGGCTGCGCTGGACCTCGAATATGCTGCCAGAGGAAACGGCGCACTGCAGAAAATTCCGAAATTCTTGTCTGCGCCAGGCCACAACGGAATCTTAATTAACCTGCTCGGCTTTGCGGTTGAAACACGAATTTCCAATCTGAACTGATGTTGTTGAAAACAAATTTCCCTTGCCAGTATTGGAAATTGTATCAGACGTCAGATATATCTGCATTGTAAGTCCAATTTTTTTAGGGTTAGCGTCAATTTTCTCTTAGCTCTAATGTCTAATAAATAGATAAGTAAATCTGCATTGCGTGCTACATATCGTAATACAAAGCATCCGCGCTCGACTTGCTAACTTTTCCGCTCTTGATTCTTGTACTCAGACACAAAGCAAACGAGCTTATTGGATTTGTTCAATGCTTTGCTTCTTGTGCGTCCATCCGATAAATCATCCGTCCGTTTCTCGTTCCTTCCCTCCGCAAACTACTTCCCTGCTACTGAGTCTAGATCTCATGGTGCCCTCGTCTGATACAGTGTCAGCAGATAATTATACGTACGTATGTACATACACATGTGCATATTGTATATATGAACTGATAGGTATTAATGCGTAGATCATATATCTATTTATGATCTAGCTCCTCAGCTTCAAGAGTTATTTCAATTAAATTTTTATTATTTTCTTTTTATAATTAAATTGAAGCCATAACTCTGAATTTTATTTTTATA